GCCTGCCTCTACCTCCACCCCCGCCAGGGCTGGGCTGCAGGGCAGGGGCTCCCAAGAGGATACCATGGGACATAGCAAGGCCAGTCCTCCACTGCGAGGATGTGCTGAGCCAGCACCGTTTGCTGGTCTCTGTTCTTAACGCCCACGTGGCCCTGTTCTGTTACGCCCACCTGGTCACCTGCCTCTGTGAGTGACTGAGGCACAGAGCAGCTCCTTCCTTTGTGTTGGGCTGGTGAGAAGAGCTGGAGTGAAGGTCTGGGGGAGGTTTGAACTTGGGTCCGCCATGTGCAGCCTGCCCCCCATCTGTCCTGCAGAGCAGTTGTGGTACAGGCCGCGTGTGTGACAGCAGGAAAAAGTGAGGGGCAAGCTCAGGGCAGGTGCAGGAGTGGGCCTGCGCGCAGTGACCCGGCTCTGCTCGGATCACCTCCTCTTGACCCAGTGGAGGCACAAGGCCCCCCGTGGACATTTGGGACCACTGTTTCCTTTTAAGATTTCTCCCTCATCTCCACCCCTGAAACAAATAAACAAACAAACAAAAAACAACCCATGCATGGAAGAGGAGAACTTATTACAGACCTTTCTGACACCACTGGATGCTGTGCAGGGTCACCCCCGCAGGCCAACCTTCTCCCCATGTCAGGGTCAGCTCTGCTGGCTGCTCCCCACCTTCAGCCTTTGTCCTCCTCAGCAGAGCCCTGAGTACCTTTTAGGCTCACATCCTTTGCCGTAGGGAGGGGGCCTTATGCCTGGGTGCTGTGATGCCCTGTGAGGAGCAAGCTGAGGCACCTTTGGAATTTCCTTGCTCTTTGGAGGAGTCATGTTTCCACTGGGCTAATGTGGTGGCAGCCATCTTGTGACCATGAGGACAGCCTGGAGTGGAGATAGAAGGGAAGGAGCCTTGCTCTTGATGTTGTCCTCAAGGCTTTGAAGGATAGGTGACTATTTGGTCCATCTTGAGCTGAGTTTTCTTTTATTCATGGCTGAAAACACTCTAACTAACAAGCACAGACCATTTCCTAGTATTGATACATGCTTGGACCTTGTGGGAGATTCTGGGCTGAGCTGCCTTTGGCACGGAAGATGGACCCTGTCCATTTTTACTCTGTGGGCCCTGGTGGCTTGTCTGTGCCTCCGTCCATCAGTTAGGAAGCCTGGAGGGTGAATGTCTTCAGGACCCTGGGCTGTGCGTGGCGGAGACTCCCCGAGTGTCAATGAGGGGTCCTTCCAGGTGGGCGGGTTTCCCTTCAGCGAAGCTCCAGGCTTGTGGTGGGTGGCTGTGATCTAAGCAGATGGCCAGAGCCTTCTTTAATCATGCTTGGAGCAAGTCCTTCCAGACTGGCTTAGTCTCCTGCCTGTGGCTGTCTTTGGTGATTCCGTAGACACGGCACAGCTGGACCCCACGTCCAGGCTCTGCCACCGTCCCCGGAGTGGGTCTCCACCTGGCTGGCTGGCAGTATGCTGACCACGCAGGTGCTAGGGGTTGATGCTCTCTTCAGGTCGATCTCGGGCTCTGAGGACACCACTGAGTATCGGGGAGTCCCCTGGAGCTGTGGGCGGCCCACCTCCTCCTAGATGCCCCTTCTCTACTGCGGCTCCCGGGCTCCCCATCTCCAGGACTGTGTGAGGCCGCGAGAACTGGTGGTGCGAGGGACTTGCTATGGAGTGTTCCGTATCCTAGAAGGACTTGGGCCCATGTGAGCTGCTGGCCCTCCTGTTAGGGCCTGAGGTCACCTTCTTACCTCTGCAGTGACACACAGCACCTCAGAGTGTGAGACTCGGACGTGTGAAGTGGGACCCACAGGCCACTTTCTTCTCTTTCCCTGGCCTCTGCTGACACAAGGGGGTGGATGCTCACCCTGGTGGCTCTGCAGGTGTGCTGGAGGCTCAGGGAGATGGGGTGTGAAGAGGCTGTTGGGAGAGTGGCTGGCATCGTGGAGACCGCCTGTGGCCGGTGCTGCTTCAAAGGGAGCCGTAGACAGAGTGTCTGCCGCCAGGAACCTTGGGGCAGCTTTGATGTGGGGAGTGCAAGAAGCAGCCCAGGGCCCCAGAGCAGGGCGGACAGGACCCCAGGTGCTGTGCAGCCTCAGCAGGTCAAGACGGAGCCTGGCCGTGCCTTTCAGCCATCTGTGCACTTCTTCTCCCCATCCCCCCTGGAGAAATGTCTAGACGGTGATGGAGTAAAAAGCTCAATTACTGAGCAGGAATTTGGCCAGCAGAGAGCTGCGAGCAGACAGGATTGCGGCTGAGAATGAACCCCACTTGGATTTGAAGGACGCAGAAAGGCCAGGGGCTTGCAACCAGCCAGCACCTGTGCGGAGCAGGGCCAAACAGCCCCTAGAGGCAGCTCGGCCTGCGGAGAGTGGGAAGCTGGCCTAGCCTGCTCAGCGCCAATCTGTCCCTTGCAGGGATTTCTGCCTATAATTAGAAGCCTGGGAATTAGAGCCGTGTGCTGGAGCACGAGTCCAGAGTTGGGGAGCTGTTCTGTTTAGCCCAGCTCTTCCTTGGCCATGGGAAGTCCCTCCTCTCAGCCTCAGTTTTCTCACCTGTAAAACGGGGAGAATCAGGTTCCAAGTCCTAAGTGTCCTGGAAGGGCTTTGTTTGGCAGGTTTATTCCTTTCACGTGAATTCAGGGTTATGTGACAAGGCCCCCTTCCCCGGCCATCCTGTCGCTCGTTCTGTCTTAAGGTCACTCTTCATAATCTCTGACGTTGTCAAGTGAGTAAGAACCTAGACCGAGGTGACAGTTCGGGTGGTCTGCCGGTGCAGTGCGCCCCTCCTCTGTGTCTGGGGGGGATTGGCCCCTGCAGGCACCGCTGGGCTCTCCTCGCTGGTGTCCACCTTCCCCAGGCCTGTGTGGCTGTGCCAGTGTGGACCACTCTGTTGCTCTCAGGCCAGGCTTGTCCGTGGGGTGCTCTGGGCCTGTTGTGGCAGCAGGCAGCGTCCCTGGAGGCCTGACTCTCCCAGGGAGTGTGGATGGACAGCAGGCAGGACTGGACGCCACTCCTTGTGGATGGCTCCCCCGCCCCATGGCTTCTCCCAAAGCATTTGCCCCCTTCCCAGCATCCTTTAGGCTTGAGATCGGACTTGGAACAGAAGACACGGGCAGAGCTGTCTTCAGGTCTCTGCGTCTAATGCCCCGAGACATGGAGCCGCTCCTGGCTGCCTTCCCAGAAGATGGAGGGGTGGCCATGCGCAGTGAACCCTGCCTGGAACCGTCTTGCCTGGTTCCCAGTTTGCGCCTGAGCCCCTGTTAGGGTCCCACCTTGGCCTCCTGTCTGCAGCCCTCTTTCTTTGGGTGGAAGGCTGACCTGCCCCAGCAGCCTCTGCCACCCCTGCCTGTCCTTCAAGGCCATCCCTTGGGGAGAGGCCAAGTGCACGTCAGCAGCCCCCAGCCCTGCCCCTCTCTGCAGTGGTTGCTGAAGTCATTCCTGGCACAGGCTGCTGGCACGGGCCCAGAGAGACACATGAGTTCCCTGCCTGCCTTGGATGCTAAGGACGATAAGGAGCGTGGGGAATGCTGCAGGCTCTGGCCACAGGGACCCCAGGGGGAAGGGTCACAGTCAGGGTGGAGCTGTGTCTTGCTAGGTGACGGCACACTGGCCTGTGGCAGCATAGGCGGAGTTTCCCCACGGGAGTTTGCAGGGACCCCGTTAACAACGGTCAGCACCTGGCTTGGCGGATGCTACGCCAGCCCTGACTCTCTGTCCCTTGGTTCTCACAATAGACACTGAAGCAGGTGGACCACATGATTTCCACTGTCCAGATGAGGAAATTGCAGGCCCCAGTGGTTGAAGCTCGGGCCTGGCCCCGTCTGCTCTTGACCTGGGATGGTGCCCTCCTGGGCCTTGTGTCTGTGAGCTGAGGGGCGTCCTCCTCCTCCTCACAGTCTGCTAGTCACTGTAGCTTCCAACCCCCTTCTACGTTCCTTTCTTCCTCCTTGAGTTTTCTCAGCCAGCATCTCCTTGTCGGGTGTGTTGGGGCAGGAGGGTGCTGTAGAGCAGACAGGGGGGGTCCCAGGGTTGAATCCCTCTCTCTAGAGTGACTCATGTCCTCCTTTGTTAAATGTGCATAATGACAGCCCCAGTTCACCTGCAGGTGCTGCCCCGTCCCTGGCAGAGGAGATGCTAGAGCAGCCCACCTCTGCCGCACCTGGCCCCTTGGCCTCTTTGTTTCAGGTGGGCACATTCGGGGACAGGCCTCGACTCTGCTCTCTGGCCTCATCCATGCCAGACTCCGTGAAGTTGAAGGAGCTCAGAACTTGGGAGGTTGCTTGGCTGTGCCAGAGGCAGGAAGAGAGCGGGGCCTGAAGGTGTCCCTGATGGAACAGGGAGGCCCCCTCAGTCCTGGGACTCTCGGAGGGGCTTGATTGGGCCCTGTCTTGTTCTAAAGAGCTGTTCGGGGCTTCCAACTTCACGCCGCCTTGATGGGGTGTTGGGGATGGACTCCCACCCAGGCTGGGGACCAGAGATGGTGCTGGGGACCTTCTCAGGACAGGAGAGGTGGCCCACTACTCAGGTCTTGGATGCTGCTGGCCCCTGGCCATCCCTGTGCCTACCCAACAAGTCAGCAAGTCCCTGGTGGCAGGACCCAATCCTTGGGCCTTGGGAGGAGCGAGCATGGGAGAAATGGGCAGGTTCCCTGCTTACCCAGAGGCCTGCGTGGGCTCAGGCTCCTGCCTGGGCCTCAGGCCCCCAACAGAAATGCCAAACCCGGTTTTTCTCCCCCTGTTGTTGGCCTTGAAGGTCCAGAGCAGGTATCTGCTGGGAGCTTCAAGCTGTGGTGAGACCCTGGGGTGGTCTCCGTGGGGTCTGGCCTCAGGGTTTACTTGCGACATGTGGGTTAAGCGGGTTCCCTTGTCCCCAGAAGGGCGTGTGGGTCCTGAGCCCAGCCTCCATGGGCTTGGTGCTCCGTGCCCGTCACCGCTCGGGGCTCCGCCGTGTCTGTGCGTTTATCCATCTTGTCACGTGAGACAAACAGCAACGCCAGCCCTGTGGTTGCAGGGGAAGCTGCCCGTCCTGCTGCTCGGCCGCTCCTCGGAGCTGCGGCCAGGAGAGTTCGTGGTCGCCATCGGGAGCCCGTTTTCCCTCCAAAACACCGTCACCACCGGGATCGTCAGCACCACCCAGCGGGGCGGCAAGGAGCTCGGGCTCCGGAACTCGGACATGGACTACATCCAGACGGACGCCATCATCAACGTGAGCCGGCCCCTCCCTCCACCCGCTGGGGTCTGGGGCAGGCTTTGGCCAGAGGACAGTCAGGCTTAGAAGCCAGGTGTTGAGTCAGGATCCTTGTAGCACGGGGGCTCCCTCTGAACCTCTGAAGTCGAGGGACGCCGAGGGACGCCGAGGGTGGGCAGCACCCAGAGCCATCCCTGCCTCTCCTACCACAGGGGCCTTAGACCTGCCCAGGGCTGCATGGCAAGGGGAGCCTCATCCCGCCCGGGCAGGTTGCTGGCTGCCCTGCCCCACAGGCCCCTTGGGCACATTGAGGATGTGCAGAGCCTCCCTTTCTGGCAAGAGGGCCACTCACTTCGCAGGGCCCTGTAGCCTCGAGGTGGCCTGAGCTCTGCCCTCTGCCCTTGCCCTAGGCCACAGCCTGAGTGCCGGGCCTGTGCCTCCATGCCCTCTCCTGAGACTGGAGCTCTCAGAAATGGTGTGTTGGTGCAGCCTCTGCCCCTCGTAGGTTTTATTCTCAAACTTCCTTCCAATCTGCACGAGGTTCAGGAACCAGGACAGACCATATGGATTCCAGCCCCAGCAGCAGACAGGGGACCTACCAAGGGGGCTGTGCAGATTTGGACCCCATGATCCAGGAGCAAGTGGGCAGTGGGCCTCACCCCAGGCCAAGAGAGTGGGATTGGAGGCGGTAGGGCCTCTGACTCTAAGAGCCCCCAGTTCCCCATCTATGGCAAACCCTTAAGTTCCTGAATCGTTACAAATCCCAGGGAAGAACCGGACCCCATACTCCAGGCCCGGTGCTCAGAAAGCCGCCAGGCAAGGACACATTGAAGCATGTTACGACACAAGTATAACCTTCCTTTATCTGTTTATTTCAGTATGGAAACTCGGGAGGCCCCCTGGTAAACCTGGTAAGGCCTGTCATTACCCATGTCGAGGTTTGTTTTTATCTGTGTGCGTGCTGTTTTGTTTTAATTTCTTTCTGAACATGAACTTGCAAAAGCGTGTTATCCAGTTCTTGTAAAGTGAGCTCTGAGTGGACTGTATCTCTGCATATCACCCTATACACCTTTTCTGGAAGGAGTAGGGCCTGCCAGAGTTGAGGCTGGGGAGGGAAGGCCCTGGGACACGCTGGTGTTCACAGTCTCAGGCCAACGCAGTGGAGTCCGGGGCCAGTCCAGGCCAGAGAGGGAGCAGCTTTGTGCTGAAGGTCGCAGCAGAGCTGTGGGTTGTAGGGAGCACCTCCTCCAGATCCAGTCCCCAGGGCAGGGAAGCAGGGAGGAGCTTCCCCAGGCCAGGAGCCCTCCCTCAAGACCTGAGGAATGAGGAGGAGCAGGCTGCTCACAGCATCTCCCTCCCTCTGAACTTACATCCTTGAGCGTGAAAAGCAAAACCTGGAATCACAGACTGTCAGAGCCAGAGCGAGGCTCAAGGGCCACTTGAGACGCTGGAATCAAGGTCATCTTGGGCAAGGCCCG